TTTACATTTCAACTGACACACAGTTGCCACTCGAGTAGTTTTTATGACACACTTTCAAGTATCATCAAAAATTTACCTTTTATATCATTTTTCCAGTTCATATTTCATGTGGAAACACTCCAATTTTTTAGTCATCTGATAAACAAACAATTTCTCGACAGGTACTCGACATATATTTGAACAGTGATGACATCGAGCTGTTTCCGTACACAAATAAACATTTTCCTTTGCCTCCATGTCCTGTCAAAGGACTTTCTCCTACTAGCCTAGACATGGTTTATCTTTCTCGCTTCCAGGCTGGCTTACTGAGCCTGCTGGTCAGAAGTGGCACTCAATTTATTAGACATAGCAGACGTTGGCGTTGGAAGCCTAGAAGTGGCTGCCATAAAAAGTTTATATTTATGCTGGACGTTTCGTTCCGAGTGGACAAACAACAAAAAAAAAAAAATGGGTAGAGAGCGAATACTGAAGCAAACCGGGGAGCTGCCTAATTGCGTGCCAAATTTGTGGGGGTCACTGGTTGGGGGCCAGAAATATTTGTTTAGAAATGTGGCTAGATAAATCAACGAACCCGCACCCAGCCGGAGACAGTTGGAATACAGCAGACCTCAAAGCCCCTCCTAGTCCCTGGTGCCGACCGAATTTATATTGCCCCAGGCCAACGACGTCAAACGTGTTTAAAATTTATGAATAAAATGAGTTCGCATAAATCAAGGAGCCAGAGGCGGTTTCTGAGGGAGAGAAAATGAAAAACTGTTCGGTGCCAGCAACACGTAGGAGGAAGTTCCAGAGAAATAAAAAGGATACTTTTTTTATAATTTCCCTTGTTAAAAATATTTAATAATGAAAAATACAAAGGAGGTTTGATTTTGTGAAGAAATTATGCTGACTTGACAAAAATAGAATATTAAACCGATGCCATATATTTTCGTCCTGCACTGTTGTGTATGCAATATCCTGGCATGAGAAATAACCCACTCAAAGGAATGTGGCTGCAGGAACTGAAGCTGCTGTGAAATGCCAACGCTTATTTACACTTAATAAAGCTGCAAAGCAGCGACAACTTTTGCAGCTGCAACAAAGCTAAAGGGAAAACACTGGAACTGGAAGGACCACGACGTGGAGGCACTGCATCCTCGAGCCTTTTTTTTTGTTTGTTTGCCTGGCGTAGCGCGTGTGTGCCAAAGCATCAAACGCTTAGCAAGTCAAGCAGTCAAGAGAGAGAGAGGCTTTAATGCATAAACAGGCACCAAGGCCTGTCTGCCTATCCGGCGGTATCCTCCGACAGTCCCTGTTCCCCCTAAAAATCCGACCATCCAGGCTGTAATGCCGACGGAAAGTGTCCTGGCTTCTGGGTGTCCTGTGTGTGAGTACTTGTTATGCTGCCCTTTAACGAGCTTGCATCATGTTTGCTTTGCCATTGGCCCTGCCAGGCTTCTCTCACCAGCTCCTGCCTCCTCGTATTTTATTTCTTATTTTTTTTTTTTTTTGCCATGTCGTTGTCATGATTAATGTCCTTTGTTATTATTTATTTCCTTTGTGCCGCCTCCCTGACAGTTGTGTTCGCCTTGTTCGCCCCGGAATTGACACGTCCTGTCAACGGTTACCATTGAATGCGACTTTAACGCATCTTTTCATTCCCCGCAGCCCAAAAAACCCAGAATTTTCCTTGTTTTCATGTTTTTTATATTTCAGAGGATCCGGCTTTGTCTTGTAATTGTGTTTTAACCGCCTGTTTTTTCATAGCAACTTTTCTCGTTGAGTCTCTCCTTTAAATTTTAAGCCCGTTTTGGTTCTTTTTATATTTTTGTTACATGGAAAAAATGTAATTCTTTTATGGGTACATTGTCCCATTTCCCTTTTGAAGGGAAAAATTTAAATTCTGTCCTTAAACAAAGCGTGTAAAAATTAGGAACTGTCTTTTCCTCAATCTGATTTGATTAATATTCCATTGGCGTTTCACAAAAAAATTCTATAAATTAAAAATTTCACTTTATCTGGGTTTGTAAATATTTTATCCTTTTTTTCCGGCCTAAGCTGGAAAGTAAGTTAATGAATATTCAATTTCAATAACCCATATGTTGGTTTTATAAAAACTTCCATATAAATTTATTTTTTTAAACCAATATACATAAATATACTGTGTGTTCCACCTTCTGTGGTAAATGCGACACGTAATCAGAGGGCTGAACATTTGTTATTGTTATTAAAGATGTCGGCGAGCTCTCAGCACCAGCACTCGGAATATTGCACATACCACACGTTGTCCAGGACACACGTGCCGTGTTTGTATAGCCGGACGGACAGGAGAGAAAAAAAAATTCTGTTATGAAATGAAAATTGTTTTTTTTCTTCTTGCATTTTTTTTTTTTTATTTTTAAATGCCTTGACCCAAAAGCAAACAGTAGGGCAGCAGGACCTGAAAACCTCACATAAGTAAACAACCAAGGGAAGCTGGCCTCGTCGGGCGGAAAATTCCAAAGGAGCGCCTTCTTACAACCATGTACGACGTTGTCCTGGTGGACATCAATCAAAATGCGAGGCTCCTGTTGATGTTGCCACGGTCACCGCAACGTGGGCGGATGGGGAGGATATGCGTTCGGAATTTTCAATTTCGCCTTGAGGCGATAAATTTATTAAATTGCTCGCCAGCACTCGCCCTCCTCGGGCTTAACCATGGCCTCTTGGCATAATTTAGGCCAGCGAATGGAAAGAAGATTTCCCAGTGGAAGGGGCAGACCAGCCCAATCAATCACTTGTGGTCAACATCACATCACAAAAGGACGATTGCTGTGCGCCCCTCTGACATCACTGATTTTGATTTGTTGATTGCCAGTGCCGATGAATGCATGTCCAGTTTTGCAATTTCCTCCTTGCGGTCAGAATCCTAGATTGGGGTCGGTCTTCGTCGTTCAGTGTGTTCAATACCCTGCGTAGAAAATCGAAACCACCATAAATAATAGTTGTTGCACCGAGAACGCAGGATGGCCGAATGCTAGACTGGCAGACTGACAGTAGGGAAGGCAGAGATATCTCTGCGTTTGGTCCATTGGGTTGGGTTTTTGTTGCCATGAAAGCTTTTAGTCCCGATTTGCAGGTTGCCTGCCCTCCGATGTGCTCTTTTATTTTTATTGCCACGGTGCGCATTTGCATGGCTCAGCGATGGCGTTAAAATGGCCTATAACTGCAGCACGTAACATTGCGCATACGCCGCGTGGCCTTATCGCCGGGCCGGAAAAAATAAAAGGAAGCTGGGGAAAAAACTGAAACAGAAACAATGCCAGGTGAACAGATCTCACAGCTTGATTTTACCTGACGCTCTTAAAGGCCATTTGCTCTCATCCTTGGCCCCATTACAATTAGACCGTTCAGTTGCCACAAAATTGCAGAGCATCTCATTTAATTAGTTTCTATTTTTGCAATGCGGCTGCTGGCAGTGCGCCTTTCCATGCCGGTCACGTCTCTGTTGGCCTATTGATAAATTGCCAGACGGCTTCAGTCCTCGTATTTATTGACTGTTTTCCCAGTCGAGGCTAGAGGAGAAGGTCTTCACACTGAAAAGGAGACAAACCGAGCGTTTATAGAGCTGTGGGAAGAGCACTTGAATCTGTCGAGTCGACAATGCTGAAAGGCAAACTGAATAGAGAGCTCACTTCCTGGCACTGTGTCATATGGCCAAACAATGTAGCCACTCGACTCGCTAACTACACAGCGAATAAAAGTCAATTTAATGGCTTTACAACTCGGTCATTAAGAATTTAATAGTCTGCTTGGATTGAAAGTGCTAAAATGAGAAATCACTTAAATTGATCCTTTTTATAGCTTGCCTTTATAAAAAATGAACTTTAAGAAAAACTGTAGTTATTTTAAAGGGATTTTAAAGGGAAACATTAGTTATTTTACGTTCTTTCTTTCTGTGGACAAAACCCACGGACTTGGCATGCTTGTCAACTGACGCTCAACTGGAATTGGCTAAGAAATTGACATTTTGTCCTCTTGTGTTGACAGGACCCACTTTTTCCATTTTCCATCTGTCAGATGAATTCATTAGAGGACATTTTATTTTCCATAGCAGTTCTTGTGGCTGAGAGTTGCTTAATTTATGGAGCTGCCTGGGTAAGGCGCTTATCAGAGGGACCCGGACCTCAGTCCCCTTGTCGAGATTAATTTTGTGCGCCCTTTTTAACCGGCTTGCAATTATTCAACAATTAAAAACAAAACAGCCAAACATTAGGAGCGGAATGTGGAGGAGTTGCTAGCAAAATGAAATTACTTTGGCTTAATTAATGGCCAGCGAATGTCGAAGCGTTGTCGCCTTACCATTTTTTTTCTGCTCCTGTTTTTGGCTGTCACAGGCCAAAGTTAAAGCCAGGCAAAGACCACGAAAACTGTTGACAACAAAGTTCCAAAGTGACGCCATTTGGGAGGAGGCTTTCGGAGGAGGACGTGAATGTGAACCATGAAGAGGATGTGCGTTACACATGGTGCTGGGATGTAGGCAGGGGGAGAATTTTTCAGTTGCGAATTCCCGATGCGATGCGGGCGTTGTTCTTGTTGACGTCACACACGGGGACATGCTAACAGACATTTGACTAAGGACTTTTTGCCTCCACCATGGCACTTGTGTTTTTCGGGGGCCATGCTATGGGCCAGGAATTTGTAGTTGTCTTCGCCTGTCGGCGGCAAAACGTTCGTGCCTGTGTGTTAGCCATGTGCGACAAGCTCATAAAAAGCGTTTATTTAGCCAAGAGTCAGGCAAGCGACACATGACACCAGCAAAACGGCCAAAACAGGAGTGAAGTGGTTGGGGATCCTTTGGGAGGAGAGTGGAGAAGGATGTTTATAGATTGGAGAGAGTAATGCTGATTTGGCTCTTACCACATCATTATGTCTCTACCGAAGGGAAGGCCTACCCACTCAGCCCTAAACTTAGTTAAACAACTCTTTCATCTACTAACCAAAGATTTTCTCCTTTTTTCTCTCGTCCTTTCTCGTAACAGGCTGCCAGTTTGTTAGGACGCTATGCATACCGCACTCCGAGGTCTGCTACGATGGTAAGTAAGCGATAAGGACACCCCGATATCCTGACACCCCGTTAAGATGGACTTAAGACCCAGATTGCGGTTAGACGTATACGTAGTTTGGAAGGAGGCAGGCAGTCAGGCCAGCCAGAGCCATCCAGAGCCCTGAACAAAACGAAAATTCAATTTACCAACCAACTTAGAGCAGGGATTATAAGCAAAGCATAGTTTTTAGGAAACATCCTCTTAATACTACGGCTGGGAGTCAGCTAAATGGGGGAAAAGCTTAATGCTTTTTCTATTATGCAGATTAGGGGAAAAAATGTGTTTTAATCATTTATACAAAAAAGTTTCAGTCTATTTAAATCCTAATGCACAGCATTAATTATAATTCAGCAATTAGCATTTAAATACTTTTTAAATGAGGAAACTTTTAATATTTTTGGTATTTGGATTTACTATAGTTTGAAGTTCAGGTGAGCTTTAATGAGGATTTTAAATTTGTAGATCTCTTTTCACTCTGGCGTCAAGAACCACTTTAATGTCTTTAAGTAAATCCAAATTGCAAAATAAAATAAAAGCTTTCGCTGTCGATTTCCGTTGCCTTCAGCAAACAGTTCCCACCTCCATCTAAATATATGTATGTATTTTGTGGAAATGCATCCCGAGACAAAAACCATTTTGTGGGTCAACGTTAAAGGAGCCAAATTTAGGGAAAGGGAAATCCAAACAATAAAAAAAAATAGCTGAGAAAAAACCACACTGTGCTGAGCTCTGGCCTGGGGCATATTATTCCTATTTGCAGAGCTCTTCAATGCCAGGCGAGAGTTCACACAAAACGACACCAAAACAAAGTGTGAACTAGCAGGACGGATGGGGATCGAGATGGGGGACAGGATGTGGGCGGGAGTGGAAGTGAGAGTCCTTGCCAGTGCATTATCGAGAACACACTCAATTACTTATGTAAGCTCGACGAGGGGGAGGACTCAGGAACAATTGGAAAAGCAGCTGGAACTGCAACTGCGAAAAATGGCGAAAATTGCAGCGCAATGGTTGACCTCAAAAGAGGGGGACGGGTTGGGGTGTGCTGAGGTGAGGGGCGTGGCCTACACATATGCGGACTGCAGTCAGGGGTTTCTCCGCATGAGAAGAAGCATTTACATTATGCAAATTACGCCCGAGACAAGCCGCAAGGATATGCATTTAAATGCTCGTAAATCACAATGAAAACAAAAGGTGCTGATGGTGGAAAGGCGGCGGAATCAGGGGTACTATATATAGGAGATATGGGGAATAAGGAGGTTGCTACCATTGTAAGACGAGCGACATTAATGCAGTTACATGCCCTATTAATATCGGAAGATACAATGTAAAAAGGGGCTTACAATGGCTTGATATATGTATTTGTATTTTTGACAGTACTAAGGGCCTTGAAAGTAAAGAGTATATAGCTGATATCCAAGCTTATCAAGTATCTAACTATTCCAAATACCCTTTCAGACAACATCTTTGGAAAGTGTATACCCACAACCGGTGTCGATGTTGAGGACATTGAGAAGTGAGTATCCTTAGCTAATTTATTCAAATGAAATCTGCGGCTTCTATAAACGAATCCTTATTTATTTATTGCCTCAAAGGACTCCCCTCACCGAGGAGCAGTCTCGTCTGTTGGCCACCATGCTGGAGGAACTCCAGGGCGCCGGCCTAGGCTGGGACCATCCGTACGTGCAGTGTCGCATCCAGGGTGCACTCTTCTCGCTGCAACGTCAGCAGCAGCTTCCGCCGAATTTGTGCGCCAATTTGGCGCCTGTTCCGCCGGACTTCGGGGACCCCGCGAGTGCTTTGGCCTATGTGCGCTTCACGCCACCGGAACCGGAGGCGGAAATCGAGTACTATGAACAGCCGGGCTATCCGTCCCTGAGGAAAAAGCAATCCGTGGATGACCAAGACATTTATCTGAATCGGATGTTGCAGGACCGGCGGCGGTTGCGTCACGATCCTCTGGAACTGGAGCACTTTGGCAAGATGGATGGGCATGCGAAGGGTGCACAGAGCGAAGTGGACATGCCCAGCATAATGGACACTTTCCTGGACAATGAACGGCAACGGATGGAGCGCGAAGAGCAGCAACGCGAGGCGGCGGAGCAACAGAACCTAGAGCTCTACCAAATACTAGCCGCCTCGGAGCCCGATCCGCAGCCGTACCAAAGGAAGCCGGCCAATGCCATGGACCAGCTGGAGGCCATTGTGGAGCAACAGCAGCAGCGGGAACTGAAGCAGCAGCAGGAACAAGAGCGTCTGGAGCAGGAGCAGCGAGCCAAGGCTCCGGTTTATGTGCCACCCGAGGAGGTTAACGAATCGAGTGAGCTCTATTTTCCGGATAACTTTACGCCCTTCAAGCGGGCACGAGGCAGCTCCAGGAGCAAGCTGGCCGAGCAGGAAGAGCAGCAAGAAGACCAGCCGCCCAAACGCTCGTTCTTCCGGGAACTGGCCGGCGAACAGGGATTGGTCCAGGAGCCTCTGTTGAACTTCCAGCACGTGGCACCCGAACTAGAGACCACTCCCGAGCTGACCAAGCGGCGACCGGCAGGCCTCAATCCTCTGGAATCCAACGATCTCGATGCCCAGCAGCAGGAAATGGCTTTCGAGTCGAGTCTCTTGCGAAACTCTCTCACTCCCTTGGAGGAGGAAGCCATGCTGGCCTCCAATAGCTACCCCAGGCAGCCGAAGAGGCAGCGGGTTTACACCGAGGGGGGCATGCTCCTGATGCCACAGGATGAAAGCTTCGATGGGATGCAGGGTGATGAGCCCGAGAATGTCAAGCAATCCCTTCTGGCCAGTATGCTGGGTTTCGCCCGGCATGAGCGGCTGGACGTGAAGAAGCCGGGCCCGCTGATGGGTCCTCCCGCTCCTGTTTCGTCGGAAGTGAACAACCAAGTGGAGAAAGAGAAGACTCGCAAGCCGGACGGAGGTAACAAGGAGGTGCTGCCCGCCCACATCAAGGGCAGCATCGAGGACGAGGCACACAAAAAGAAGAAGGTCATGCAGCAACAACACTCGGACGAGGATCATGCGCCGCACACCGTTGACACTGAATATGTACATGTGTTCGTCAAGAACCCGTGAGTGCACTTATTTTGTATTCTTTTTGAAAGGAAAAATTTAAATTGTTTTTTTTAAATAATTCTATTTCAGTATTGACAGTTGGAACGATGGGCAGCGCATCATGAAGGAGCTGGAGCAAATACTACACATGCAGGGATACTTTTCTTATTTAACGTAATTAAAACATAAATAAAATTGCCAAATTTTTTTCCTTTTTATCAAGTGGTCCTTAAAATCGTTACAAAACAATTTATTCAACGATTTTCCCTCCAAAATCTGACAAATTTTTTTTCACTTTTTTGGGAATTTTTCTGATGGGCCCCTTTAAAATCTTCTTTCCAATTTCCATCTGATCCTTGAGCGGAGTTTTTTTAAATTATAAAATTGGCCTTAAAAAATTATTTTTTCACTTTTTTGTCAATTTTTCTGATGGGTTCCCTTCAAAAATGCTGAAAATGCATGGGAGCCCAATACCACCCACCGCGAAAGCCATATCTTTGCCAATTTCCATCTGATCCTTGAGCGGAGTACCTCAATCGATTTGTGGATCGATTCTCCACAAATCTGCATCAAAATCTGGATACAAATTATTTTTTCACTTTTTTGTCAATTTTTCTGATGGGTCCCCTTCAAAAATGCTGAAAATGAAAAAAAAAAATAACACAAAAAAAAAAAATTTTTTTTTTTTTTTTTTTTTTTTTTTTTTTGGGGGTATTAATTTATTTTTTTTGTTTTTTTTTTCTCCAAAATTTTTAAAAAAATTTTTAAAAAAATTTTTTTTTTTTTTTTTTTTATTTTTCTGATGGGTCCCCTTCAAAATGCTGAAAATGCATGGGAGCCCAATATCACCCACCGCGAAAAGCCATATCTTTGCCAATTTCCATCTGATCCTTGAGCGGAGTCCAATATCACCCACCGCGAAAGCCAATCTTTTTTAATTTTCTTTTTTTTCTTGGGGGGGGTACCTCAATCGATTTGTGGATCGATTCTCCACAAATCTGCATCAAAATCTGGATACAAATTATTTTTTCACTTTTTTGTCAATTTTTCTGATGGGTCCCCTTCAAAAATGCTGAAAATGCATGGGAGCCCAATATCACCCACCGCGAAAGCCATATCTTTGCCAATTTCCATCTGATCCTTGAGCGGAGTACCTCAATCGATTTGTGGATCGATTCTCCACAAATCTGCATCAAAATCTGGATACAAATTATTTTTTCACTTTTTTGTCAATTTTTCTGATGGGTCCCCTTCAAAAATGCTGAAAATGCATGGGAGCCCAATATCACCCACCGCGAAAGCCATATCTTTGCCAATTTCCATCTGATCCTTGAGCGGAGTACCTCAATCGATTTGTGGATCGATTCTCCACAAATCTGCATCAAAATCTGGATACAAATTATTTTTTCACTTTTTGTCAATTTTTCTGATGGGTCCCCTTCAAAAATGCTGAAAATGCATGGGAGCCCAATATCACCCACCGCGAAAGCCATATCTTTGCCAATTTCCATCTGATCCTTGAGCGGAGTACCTCAATCGATTTGTGGATCGATTCTCCACAAATCTGCATCAAAATCTGGATACAAATTATTTTTTCACTTTTTGTCAATTTTCTGATGGGTCCCCTTCAAAAATGCTGAAAATGCATGGGAGCCCAATATCACCCACCGCGAAAGCCATTTCTTTGCAAATTTTTTTTTTTTTTTTTTTGGGGGGTTCCTTAATTTATTTGATGGATCCATTCTCCACAAATCTGCATCAAAATCTGGATACAAATTATTTTTTCACTTTTTTGTCAATTTTTCTGATGGGTCCCCTTCAAAAATGCTGAAAATGCATGGGAGCCCAATATCACCCACCGCGAAAGCCATATCTTTGCCAATTTCCATCTGATCCTTGAGCGGAGTACCTCAATCGATTTGTGGATCGATTCTCCACAAATCTGCATCAAAATCTGGATACAAATTATTTTTTCACTTTTTGTCAATTTTTCTGATGGGTCCCCTTCAAAAATGCTGAAAATGCATGGGAGCCCAATATCACCCACCGCAAAAGCCATTTCTTTGCCAATTTCCATCTGATCCTTGAAAAGAAATACTCATTTGCGGCAATTCTCACATCCAATTATCCTATGAAAAAATATTTTTTTATTTTGGTCCCCTTCAAAAATGCTGAAATGTAGAGCCCAATATCACCCACCGGAAAGCTATTTTAATTTCTTATCCTATACCTAATCGATTTGTGGGTCAATTCTCCATTAATCTGGGCATAAACTTTTTTTGTTCAGTTTTTCATAAATTTTTCTGATGGACCTCCTTTAGATGGCCCGCACCGAAGACTTTCTCCAAACGGTGTCCATATCTTGTCCAATTTTGCTTGCGTCTCTTAAGCTAAATACCTTAAAAAATGTATTAATATTAACTTTCATTTAAATGCCTTTTCCTTTTAATTTTTTCACAGCGTTCAACAACACGAAGTCAGCTTCCGGGTGAACTCAAACAACCCCGAGCGCAAGACCGCCGGCGATGTGGCACGAACGATCAACGAGAACCGCGGCGTCAAGAACAACATCCAGCGACGTGTCGGGTTCTATGTGCTGCACGCCGGTGTCGGCGACGTGATCAAGGACCTGCAGGATCCGAGCGTGTCATCGGCACGGATCGAGCTGGCCGAGGAGGGACCGGATGTCACCCACATCATGGCCTACATGTTTGCCGGGGCAGGAGCTGCTGCGGTAATAGTGATCTTTGTCACCTTGATTCTGATCAAGCGCCATGACCGCAAACGGGACAAACTGGGCGGACTACAGTCGGGCATTGCGGGGGCGGAGACCTGCAGCAAGGACTACCAGGAACTCTGCCGAGCCCGGATGGCCGGCAAGGGTGGAAGCGGCGGTAATGGAGCAGGAGGTGCTGCTGGTGGATCCAACGAACCGGCACACAGCGGACGGATCACATCGCTGAGTAAGGAGAACGAAGGCCGACCACCGTCCTCACGATCCAGCACCTCTTCCTGGAGCGAGGAGCCGGCATTGACGAACATGGATATCTCAACAGGACATATGGTTTTGGTGAGTTTCAATTTGGTTGATGCCTTTTAGAAACTTTAAGTTCATGAATATGTTACCAGTCTTATATGGAGGATCACTTGCGCAACAAGGGACGCCTTCAGAGGGAATGGGAAGCACTCTGCCGGTATGAGGCCGAGCCCAGTGCTCGAGAGGCTGCCTCCCAGCCCCAGTGCTCCGGATTGAATAGACCAGGAGCTCCATTACCGTACGATCACTCGCGCGTTGTCCTTAACCATCTGGCCAATGCCGAAGGACTTGACTATGTGAATGCTTCAACGATTGTAAGTAGATAGATCTTCAGATCAAAGATCCTTATAATCCCTATAACCATACTTATTCATTTTCAAAGACCGATCATGATCCACGAGCGCCCGCCTATGTGGCCGCCCAGGGACCGCTACCCTCGACATTGGCCCACTTCTGGCAAATGATCTGGGAGCAGGGAGCCGTTGTCATCGTGGCCCTCTGCCGGTTGCAGGAGAACGGAGAGGTGGCCTGTGCCCGTTACTGGCCGGAAGAAGGTGCAGAGGTTTATCACATCTATGAGGTAATATCCTGTGAAATATTTAATGAAATCTTTTTAAAATCTTGTGTTATTATGCAGGTTCATCTCGTTAGTGAACACATTTGGTGTGACGATTACCTCGTACGTTCTTTCTACCTGAAGAATCTGCGAACCAGTGAGACCCGCACGGTCACTCAGTTCCACTTCTTGTCCTGGCCGCAAATGGGAGTTCCTGCCCAGGCAAAGGCTCTCCTGGACTTCAGACGGTGCGTCACATAAAGTTATAGGTCCAGGCCAAGTTTTAATCAAATATATGGTATTCTCCCTTCACAGCAAGGTGAACAAATCCTATCGGGGCCGACGATCTTGCCCCATTGTGGTGCATGGCAGTGCCGGAGCCGGTCGAACCGGAGCCTACATCCTGCTAGACCTGGTACTGGAGCGAATGAACAAGGGTGCGCGTGAGATAGACATTGCCGCCACCTTGGAGCACCTGCGGGATCAGCGAGCCGGTGTCGTGGCCACAAGGCAACAGTTCGAGTTCGTTCTGATGGCCGTGGCCGAGGAGGTGCATGCCATACTGAAGGCTCTGCCGGCGAACACCTCCGGCGAGAAACGGGAACTGGACAAGGATCCCGCGATTACCAGCACCACCAAGGAGCCGTTGAAGGAGGACAAGGCCAAGGAGGCGGCGGAGGAGGAGGCGCCTACCAGCAGCTCCAAGGCGGCTGCCAAGGAGAAGGATAATGAGAAGGAACAACAGCAGAAGTCCAAGGAGCCGCCCAAGGAGCAGCCCAAGGAGCAAAAGACGCCGGCCAAGCCAGCTAAGCAGGCGAAGAAGTAGACCAACCGGACTCCGTTGGACTCCGGTTGAAGGTTAAGCCTCAGGTTAATGATTGTTGCAGCGTTTCGGGGGTCTTTATTTTCGTTGTTGTAGTTAAAGAATATATAGCTTCAGTTCGACTTTGAGTTGGCGTGAGCACTTGGAAGGTTCGAAACAGGCTTCAAATGGTTGTCAGTAGTAGGAATTCTTTCCCAGTTGTTCTACGGACAACGCACTTTATTCGTTTTATTCCTAAGTTATCGACACCGCGCCAACATGAAGCACATGCGGCCCCGGTCAGTCTTGGGGCTCCCTGGGACCGTAACGCTGCTCCGGGTATGCACCAGCCCGTGGTTCCGGAGTGCGTCCGGGCGGGGAGACTCCTGGCTGGGGCAGGCATGTGCGGTGCACTTAACTATAGAAACGCACGATATACATATATAGAGGATATTTGAGTGTTAAAGGATATACAAGAATATTTACATGCATACTTATACTTATATACATGTCTAGGTGTTAAGCATTGAATTCAATTACGAAACATTTTGACTTATGCGTACATTAACCGATATCGATGTTGGCATAAATATCTCTTAACCCTAATCGATGTGCTTGAAGAACCAGCGAATGCAAAATGAAAACTGCAATGTGCACAAAATGCTAACCAACAAAAGAGAGAGCTAATTATTGGTATACATATGCCAAGTCAGACAGAACACGAGACATCATTTGAAAAGGACACTTTATACACACGACCACTCCAAAAGGATACATATACAAGAGACCGACATACATATGCAGAAACACTAGAAACCAAAAATCAAGATCAAAAAACCAAAAAAAAAAAGATTGCGAAATTTGTACCTTACAACAAAAAAATTCTATTTACAACAAGGATTGTTTAGCGAGGAAGCAAAACCTATTGATGTGTATGACAATTAATTATACAAGGATATAACCGCAATTACAGAATATATTTGTATACAATATATATTAATTATTCATATATACAATACGGTGAATGTCATTATTATCTATTTAGCTAACTTATGTGTGTGCTGCTCGATTTCGCAACTATGCGGATCGGGTATTGTTTTACCAGACCATATGTATGTGTGCAAAAATCAAGAAGAATTTGTTCAGTTATCAGTCGCTCCTAAACTTAAGCCACACTTTTTACCCCTCACAGTTGAATACACCTAACGAAGAGTATTTCAAAGTATACATATATGATTATTATTATAATACCCAGTTAAGTATGAAATTGTCAGAAAGAATTGTACTCGGGCTCCGGTGACTGCCTTTCCGGGTCCGCTCGATCAAGCTCGATACACATCATTCGCGATCACCTCGATCCACCCAGCAACCTGAGGCAGCTAGGAGCCTGACGGACGGACTGGGATTTGGGGGAGCCGGCGGGGCTTCGAGTGCGATTAGGAGTATGTGCCACAAAACAAGCTACTGAAACCACTTCAAAAAAAAAAACTATTCAAAAAATCTAAAAAAAAACGTGGGATAGTAAAACTATGCATATTGCTATCCCTAAGTGCAGAATAACAACTCAAGACACTTCTATTATCATCACAAAAACTAACCACTCAGGCATGACCTCTGATCGAATCACACGGACAAACAGGAAACGAACAAATCAATGAACCAAAAATTATGAAAAAAAATCTAAAAAAAAAAAATCACAAGGACTATACAGCCTGTATGACACGCTACACGATACACCCCAGGGACGACAACAATGATACACGTGACAAGCGATCCAACAGATACTGTATCTCGATGTAGTTTAAACTATAAAAATAAAATTTAAAAAAATAGAGAAATAATAAGTGAAGATTGTTAAGGAGGAGACGACGTAAGCGCAAGTGCTGCAAATTAGCAGAGAAAAATATTCAAAAAAATTATCAAATAAATACCATAATTAACAGTTTTCGTAGCCGTTGAACTTAAACGTAATGAAACAAATGTTATCGTAGTTCGAAATATTCCAAGACGACAAAGATAAGATACATTTCAGATAACTTTAAGATGAAAATTATTATCTCGACGCAAACCTATTCTTTCTAAACATTTATTTTGTTTAAAAACATAAAACTGACACTACACTGCAAAGAATAAAAGCAAAATGAGAAAACAATATTACAATAACTGTGGCAAGTCCCAAACCAACAACCAACTGGGCTTGCAAAGAACTTAAAGCAAAATTATAAACGTGGTAGAAAGTAAAAAAAAAAAGTATATGAGAATTATTAAACATTACTGTTTTAGAGAAAAATATTTAGTAGTGAGTTTTTCGATTGATTTACGAGTAATTGATGCAACGTTTTTTCAAAGTTAATTAAAATGCATACGAAATACAAATACAACTACGACAATTTCAATTCAAATTCAAATGTTCTTTGACAAAACAAATTAAATAAGTGTACTAAAGCAACGTAATGTATCTTATTGTAGTCAATCAAAGCATATAAAGGCAATTATATTGATGTATATTATAACATAACCATGAAACATTATACAAAATGTTTAAAAGATTTGATGAAGAAACAACAACCATGCGTAGAAAATTGAACGGAACTTACACATAACAAATAACAACTAATCATAATATTAAATTATAAATGTCTAACGGACTTTTCCATTATAATTATCTATATAATACACTTAAATCTAATGACAAAAATCGTACCTATTCGAGTGTAAAAAAACCCTATTGCAAGGGGTAGCTACACAAAAAAAAGCATTTCATAATTTCTCAAAAAAAAATATTTTCATTGATGGTGTAACATAGATATACAAAAATTCAAATGAACTAAAGCAAAACTTAATTATTAGCTATAAGACGATGAAGTAGGAGTTAAAAGAAACCACACCGAGGAACCCCTAAAATAATACAAATATTTAAAAAGGTTTAATGCAGAGGATCTCAGATCGTAGCGGACATATATATGCGACGGACAGGACTAAAACAGACACTTTTGGACAGAATACCCAGGCCGAAACCTCAATTTAAGCCTTTTATTAGCAGATCTGGTTGTTGGCCAAAAGCACAGGGATCGAAGAAGACAGAAGGATATAGAAGAAGATGACATCCAACTAGCACATACCATAGACAGACGAACCCGAGATGACGCTGACAGAATGGTTTGAGTTCCTAAACAAACGCAACCTTGACCTCAAGACTCAAGACAAACGGACGGAATCGAATAGACCAGGACAAGCTGTAAATACGCACATTCTTAACCGGACGAGCAGCTAAACCTGTACTGACCCAGAACATGACCCTTGACCTTCAACCGAAAACTGACAGATCGGACAGAACTTAGTCTTAGGCTTACAAAATGAGATTACCAGGAGGGATCCAAGTGTGGGGCTTTAACAGTCGGATCTGTCTCAAAAAGGCCTAATGCCAGGTGTATTCGAGCCGGGTGTGCGCGACTTTAACGACACAGGACTGGTTTAAAGTAATCAAGTCACTTATCATACAGGCAACCAAACTTAAATCCCTTGCTTAGTATTTTCTTTCCCAAATGATTGGGTTTGGTACCGCGAATGATAATATACAAATACAAATAAATACAAAAACACATGATCAGCATGCATATAAAACTTTCCAAATATTGCTGTCTAATTCAATTAATAAATAGATAAGCAAACGCGACAGCTTTCATGCATTTTTGGATTTATCGACCCAAAACAAATGTATCGACGTGAGGCATATATAGAACCTAAGTTTAACAATATCGATGTGTATACAATATGCAACATATTTACAAATTAAACGAATATTACACATATATATCCATTAGCCACTTGGCAACAAAAATTTGTGTTACTAAGCGATCAAAAAAAAGAAAAACAAAGAAGCGAAAAAAAAGGATTAGAAAACCCCAAAAAAATGGTAAAACCCAGCAAAAAATTATGCTGGCTGAGGCCACTAATATCTAAATGTACTTAAAACTGAATAATAATAAAACCAAAGACACTAAACACCGACACGCAAACCAAAATCAACATGGAGCATACCTATTAAAGGTTTTTTGTGCAAAGCTAATTAAATTATACGAATATATATACACAAATATATATACCATAAATATATATTAATGTTATTAATCAATTTGAATTTATCGACCGAAGAGGAGCGAAAACGGATATGCATACCTATATCTAAATGTATCGCGCCATTGTGTAATATGCGCTACAAATACAAGTTGAAAAACAAACTATATATTATATATTGTGCTGCATGTGTAAATTATATAAATGTAAATTAAATCAAGCAAACTGAAAAAAATGCAAACAATTTTCAATGATAAACAGCAGAAACGTAACGACGATGTAGAGTTGGTAATAATATATCAATTACTATTATAATAAACACAAAAAAAAAACAAAAAATTTAATAAAGAGACCCTTAAAAACCAAAAAAAAAAATCAGAAAGCAAAATATTTAACCAACAAGAATCCACACAAAAGTATGTGACACACACAATGCCGCAGCCGAGCGTAGCAATTCATGTTCCTTTCTGTTTCACCTTTATCAAGTGTCCACTGTCTGTGTCCTAGATAAGAGTAGCCAAGAAAGCTTCGGCGCAAACAAAATAGCATAACTGTCATTCGATGCCAACCCAGGGTGTTGGCTAGAGACATCACTGTAACTATAACACCAGAAAAGAGCTCGTTCAAGGTATGATATCTGATCCTATCAGAATGACTTGTAGAGTTGCTTATCAATCGAATCATATATAATCTATAATAGTTCCATAGTAATGTTCACAAGCACACCTGCACGCTTCCGCCACTAATCTTCACCAAAATTTGCATGTCCTTGAATTGATACACATTTCTTCCACTTATTCGAGTAATCAGCTTTTTTTCAACTAGTTTCCATTTTAAATAATTTATTTCTTAACTTTAATATAATAGTCGCATGCCCTAACACCAAAGCCCTACCCGCTAACAAAAATAAAATTTCGGCCATGTCCTTTGACCTTTGCAACACACAAAACAACCAAGAGTCAACCAGGATATTAAATATAAAAAACACGTCGTAATAATATTTGCCACATATATGGTTGTCTATTTAAATTTTGAAACATTAGCTTTTTCGCGCTACCGTCGGCGAAAATGCCAGAAATGCATTGGCAGGAGATTCTTTCGTCTCGAAAAGAGACTTGGCCTAAAGGCCTATACCAGTATTTAACCAACAATATTAATAACCATTTTAATAATCACAGTTTACAATATTAACACAATAGTAGAGAAGCTTTTTCAGTCTCCCTAGAGACTCATTAAACATATTTTGTTTATTTTTCAAGTGCATACAAAGTTTTTTAGTGAGATATTATGCACCGTAAAAATTAATTTTTAACTTTAAAAGATTGAATACAAAAATGATTGATAAATGGAATAATATACGCGAAAATTCATTCGGCTTTTTTTCAAGAACATTTTCATTGGCGCTTTGCCAGATAATACACTGGGGGAAATAAAATATTTTTCGTCTCATCTAGGAGACTTGCCATTTAAGGCCACCACAATATTAATGAAATAAACACATTTTTAATCACACCTATTATGTGAAATATTATAACATAACCAAATGTTTAATCTATGTGTGTAAAGCAAGCATTAAAAAATGTAAAAAAAATTATAAAACTCATAATCATGAAAGTTTTATTTGCGAGCACGAGAGGTGAGGTGACAAAAACCAATAGAGGCGATGTATTATAACCTACCCCAAGGATTTGAGGCCGAACCATATAAGACTAACACCACCCCAAAGTAGACCACATTTAGAAGCACGATAATTCTTTTTTTTTTTTTAATAGTATTTTCTTGAAATCCACCCCTTTTGCGATTTTTCCCTCTTTCAGCGATTTTTGAGGTATACCGCGTCAGCGATTCTATATCCAACCCGACCGACCGTGGTCGACCGCCGACCAAACAATGGGCCAGCAAATAAATAGAATAATCGGGTCACAGCCAATTTTATACGCCAGCACGCCAGCCAGCAAGCCATCAAGACAGCCATCCAGCCAGCCAGCCAGCCGGCAGTTACCAGAAGCAGCGACGCGGTGCGACGCCTCGGAAAGGTGGGTCGAATGGGTATGGGTTGGTTATTCGGCGGCGGCGGTGGTGGTGCGTTTTATATATTTACGTTTTTTTTTCCCCCATTTTTCGAGTTTTCGATTTCATTCAGTTTTTGGCACACAGAACATCATCATCCGGCTGATGGCTGTGGACGTTTCTGTTCGCCTGGTAGAGATGTCGGAACATTTCTTTGAAATGCCGCAATGAAAGGCAAAAAGCCGCCGTGCAAACGCTTTGATGATTTTCCGCATGCCGCTCTGCCGCACAGTCCATGCTGCCACTTCCATTTCCTTCGCCCTGCCGATGGATGTTTGCCGGTGTTTGGCCATGGCGGGCATATCAATTTAGGGGAGTGGCATGCGTGACGCTTAAGCGAACAAGATTATAGACTCATTTTTTTGTTTTGCCCCTCTCTCTGTCCCTCCTGTGCCAGTTGGTCTCCTGTTCCAGTTCCGAATCCCAATCCCGATCCTGCTCCCCCGGCCACAGGCGGCGTTTCCTTTGTTGTTGGCTCTCTCTCTCGGTGCAATAGGGCGTTGCCTAACAGTAACAGGAGCAGGAGCCAGGCACTTCACTTCATTTGGTAGAAATGGCTGGTTGGAGCCGGTGGCGGTGGTGGTGGTGGTGTTGCAGGGCCAGGAGTTGGACTCACCGAAGAGCTACATCAAACGGACCCAGAGGCCCAGGCGCAGGAG